TGTTGGGACATTGTGAAAAGGAGATTTAATGAGTGTGTTTGGTGAATTTTTCAAGAGCTAGGAGGTCAACTTATGCACCAATGCATCTTTCATGTGTATCATCCCCAAGATAAGAGAAGTCTGTTAACATTGGGGATTTTAGGCCCATTAGCTTGGTTACATTGCTTTGCAAAATTTTAGGAAAGGTGCTTTCCAAAAGGCTTAGGGTTGTTACTGGAGAAACGATTTCTCCCTCACACGGTGCCTTTGTGCACGGGCGACAAATCCTAGATGTGGTCTTAGTGGTTGTTGAGGAGTATAGGGAATTGCATTAGGATGGTGTTATTTTCATGGTGGACTTTGAGAAAGCATATGATCATGTGGTTTGGGATTTTTTGGACTTTGTTTTGGAGAGGAAGGGTTTTGGTACCAGGTGGAGGAAGTGGGTTTGGGGGCGTGCGTCGTCATGCAACATGTCGGTTATCGTGAATGGTAAAGCTAGGAATTCTTTTTGATCAACCAAGGGGCTAAGGCAGGGTGACCTTTGTCATTGTTTTTATTTATTTTAGTAGTAGATGTGTTGGGAAGTTTAATCGACATAGCTAAGGAAAAGGGTGTAATTGAGGGATTTGTGGTGGGTAGAGATAAGATTTGTGTCACTCATTTATAGTTTACGAATGATAGTATCTTTTCCTCATCTAAGGAGGAAAGTATGGTTGGCAATTTGCTAATACTTTTGAAAATTTTTGAAATTGTGTCTGGCCTCAAAGTCAATCTTAGTAAGAGCAGTGTCGTGGGTATTAATCTAGAGCATAGTTGTGTGCAAAGGATGGCGGTCATGTTGGGTTGTTGCATTGAGAAGTTTAGTATTTGGGACTTCCATTGGGGGGAGGGGGGATCCTAGAGTGGTGACTTTTTGGAACCTTGTCTTTGTTAAGATCGGGAAAAGATTGGAGGGATGGAAGTGAGCATTGTTGTCTAAAGGGAGGAAGGGAGGGGGAGGGGGGAACACACTTTGGTGCTGTCCATGTTGAGTTGCATTCCTATTTACTTTTTATCTTTGGTCAAGATCCCTGTTAGGATTGCAAAAGAAATTGAGAAATTGATGAGACTTTCTTTGGGATGGGTGTGATGAGGGTAAAAAGGATCACTTAGTTAAGTGGGAGGTTGTCTCTCTTCCTAGGGATAAAGGGGGTCTTGCTATAGGGATTATCGTTGCTAGGAACATTGCCCTCTTGAGCAAGTGGTTATGTAGATTTCTTGTCGAAAGTGAGTCGTTATGGTGTTCCATTATTAAAGCAAGTATGGAGTTCGTGACAATAAAAGAGATTCTATTGTGGTTAGTAGAGGCAATTGTTGTTCTCCTTGGAAGTCTATATCTCGTTTGTCCCACTAGTGTCTAGTTTTTTGTCTTTGAAAGTGGGTAATGGGGTTAGCATCCGGTTTTCGGAGGATGTTTGTATGGGGGATACCTCTTTTGATAGAGCTTTTCCATTTCTAGACAGATTGGTCCGTTCTTGGAATGTTTTAGCTGCGTTGGTGGCGTGTTCTAACGTGGCACCAATCTCTTAGAATTTCAATTTCCTTGGGAATTTAAACAATTGGGAGTCTTTTTAGTTGGCATCTTTGTTGTCATTGATTGATGGGATTTCTTCAGCTTCTTCTAACGATAAAAGGGTTTGGAATATCATCTCTTCAGGGGTTTTTCATATAAATCTTTGTTTGACAAACTCATTGATAAACCTTTTATTCCTTTGTTTCCTCTTCATAAGAAAAATTGAAAAGCCGTCGTTCCTCATAAAGTGAAGTTCCTCATGTGATCCTTAGCTCAAGGAGGTGTCGTGACCAATGATCTCTTCTGAATGAGAAGGCCTAATCACTTTTTTTGTCCTCAATGATGCGTGATGTGCAAGAGGAATTCGGAATCGGCGGATCATTTATTTCTTCATTGTCCAATGGTTCTTTTATTATGGCAGTGTCTTTTTGGTCTGTGTGATGATCAGTGGGTTGCTTGTTAGGTTTGAAGGGTTTGGCAGCAATAAGAGAGCCAAAACATTGTGGTCTTCTATTGTTTTTGTAAGAATTCCGAGTAAGAATTGTATATTCAACTTGTATTAGATTACATCAGGACCTTGGTATATATAATCCTAACTCCTAAACCAAAAAAGGAAATACAAGATTACATAATTACAGTCATACCTAATATAACGTAATTACAATCATGCCTAAAGCAAGCCTAAGATATATACAATTAGAAGTATGCCGATATAGAATATATACAATATATATTCTCACAGTTTTAGCTATCTTTTGCTCCATTTGGCTGGAGAGAAACGCACAGATCTTTTATGGAAAGGAGACACATGCAGAATCTTTTTGGGATAGGCTGGTTATTTGGCTTCATTTTGGGCTTTTGTGTCTCCTCCTTTTAATAGAGTTCCATTTTTCTTGATTTCTAGGGGTTGGGCTGCTGTTTGACATTCTTGGTGATTGGAATTTTCTCGTTAATTTTGTTTTTTGTTTTGGCTTCTTTCCTTGTACGAGGACTCCTTGTCCTCTCTTTTTTCTTGCTTGTGCTTTATAAAATTCTTTGTTGCTGTTCCTAAAAAATAAAAAAAATCGTAGACTTTTGTGTATATGCGTTTGTAATATACGAAACAAACCCATAATAACCAATACCAAACACACTACCCATCATCCAAATATCTCACAACCATGCCCATCACATGCCCCCACCACGAATTTGACCCACCAATCACGCAACAACTCACAAAAGGCACCAAGGAAAGAAATAAGCAAAATAAGAAGATAAAGGAATTTACCTTACCCAATGACTACAGCAAGCAATTTCCAGCACTCTTCACCAAACAGCCTTTTTTTTATTTTTTATTTTTGAAAATCAACAATGAAATTTATTAAAAAAGAAAGTGTGGAGGACAGGAAGTCCTCATACAGTGAAAAAGTGCCTAACAAAATAAAAACAAACCATCAAAAACTAAGAGAAAAGAAGAAAATCCAATCACTAGGGATTGCAAACAGTAGCCCAATCCCTAGAAATTAAGAAGAGTGGAACTCCTTTAAAAGGAGGAGACACAAAAGCCCAAAACGAAGCCAAAAACACAGCCCTATCCTATAAAGAATCTGCAGCAGCCTCCTTTCCATCAAAGATCCGTGATTTTCTCTCCAGCCAAATAGTCCAGCAAATAGCACAAACAAATGAAGCCAAAATCCAATCACCAGAGATCCGTGAATCTCTCTCTCTCTCACTGCTACTAGGAAAGTTGTAGGAAACATTATAATAAGAATTTTGGTTTTATCCCTAGTCACACGTGTAACCAGCAGGAACACTATATTTGCTATCTAATCTTATAATTATAGAAAACCTTGTTCTTAATTATACACTTTTACAATAAATTTATTAAGGTTTAAAATTAATTCAACCACTCTCCAATTACGTGAATTGACACTCTAGGATTTCAAGAATTATTTTCAAATTTTGTAGAATTATTTCCATCCTAAATATTACTTTTATTAATTTATTTTTAATTTTAATTTTATCTTTAGTTCTCACAAAAGTAAGCCGATCTTTCAAATTAGAAATTTTACTTAGAAAATTTTGAAGTTAAAGCCTGAATATGTTTCTATTCCCACTCCTTAAATGTTCATTTGGTTGTTTTTAGAGTTCTTTTTTTTTTTTCCCTTTAATCCTAAATAATAATTGCAAGTATAGTGTGCCATATCACCTTAGGCAAAATCTCAAGTAATTTGATTGGTTGAGAGAGCAACTATAGAATCAAAGTTGGACCTCCCCTTGAACCACCTTTTTTCATTAGTAAGCGACATTGAAGAAGATGGTTGATATTCACATTTCACACACAGTTGTCAAATTGTGAACTGTGAATCAAATTTGCCTTTTTGCCAATCATGAATTGAATCGAATTGAATTGTGAATTGTAAAGTTTCAGTCATAATTTCTAATTATCATAGAAAAATATATGTGTGCATTTGTATATTAAAGATGTACTATATATATGAAAAACTTTAGACTTCAATCAATAAAAAAGTTATTTTGAATTATGATCACATGGTCTAATAGATAAGATGCTTCTATGACAAGATATGTGATTTGTGACAATTCACATCATGTATGAACATATATAAATTAGAAAGAAACAAGAATTCAAGATTCATCTTAAAAGAAGTTAACACAGCCACAATTTCCCCTCTAGAATTGTCACCTTACTTTTTTTTCTCATGTATTTCTCATCAACCCATTCTTAATAAAGAAAGCACACAATTCCAAACTCTAAATTTCCAAGCAACAGTAATTCAATAACAAAGCTTTGACAACTGAAGTAATAGAGAAGTTCACTTTAAAGGGGGCTAAAGTAACAAAATTTCCTATCTTATTTGAAAATCTCACTTGATCCCTTTAAATTTTCTTTTTATGTGCACAAATTGAATATATAAACTTAGAATTCAATAGTTTTAGGGTTTGAGTGCGGTTTCACCAAAACTCATCTTTTTATCACCTGAAGTTAAGATAAGTTTAATAAATGGAAAATGAGCATGTTTTTTAAAGTTATCTATCTAAAGGCCTGCGGGCACGTTTTACGAGGCAACACATGAGTTTGTTAACTTAAGGGAAATTGACCAAGGAAAATGGTTTTGAGAATGAATCAAGTAAAAAAAGAGTTTTCTATTCAAAATCTCATGCTTATGTTATTTATTTTCCCCCTAATTGATCTTGAAAATTGTAGCGTGATACATGTCATATGTCCCTGTCTTTGTTCGTGCTTATTAGATGTTGATTGAGTCATTGATGCGTTAATGGATGTCTTTGGCCACTTAACAATAAAGTTCTTGCTGCTTGTCAAAAAAAAAAAAAAAAAAAAACTACTGCATTTTAGGAGGCATTAGACAACTCAGTGCTTGCCTATCTCTTTAATATTGTATACTGGTAGTGTTAAACTAATAATCTGAACTAGGTATTAACATGTTGCTTTTTATACTTAATGTAGGTCAAGGCAAAAGAGAGCTTGCTCCTGGAATATGTCAATTGCTGGATAAAAAGGAGGGAATCTTCCGCCAGAAAATGATGGGGAAGAGGGTTAATTTTGCATGCCGATCTGTTATATCTCCAGATCCTTATTTGGCAGTAAACGAAATTGGGATTCCTCCATATTTCGCATTAAGATTGACCTATCCAGAGGTACGGGTAGATAACTCATGTTACCTATGTTTTGCTCAATATGTGCCTGCCAAAAATATCATTTGTTGTCATGGAAAGGGTCTTGATGAAGTTGGTATGTCGCGGGTAGAAAGATACATAATGGAATGAATGTTATCTATTATTGGTGTAAGTAAATATGATACAATGTTCTACTGTAGATAAAAATAGATAATGTTTGAACCCCAAGGTAAGTGGCCGAGCGGTAAAGCTTGGAGGATAAAATCCACAGGTATCGAGTTTGAGTCACACCTTGGGGCTACTAGAGGTTTGCATGGTTGTTAACTTTAGGGCCCCGAGATTAGGTGCATGTGTTATCTATTATTGGTGTAAGTAAATATGATACAATGTTCTACTGTAGATAAAAATAGATAATGTTTGAACCCCAAGGTAAGTGGCCGAGCGGTAAAGCTTGGAGGATAAAATCCACAGGTATCGAGTTTGAGTCACACCTTGGGGCCACTAGAGGTTTGCATGGTTGTTAACTTCAGGGCCCTGAGATTAGGTGCGCGAAAGTTGGCCCACTCGGTTATCAAAAAAAAAAAAGAAAAAAGAAAGAAAGATAATGTTTGGACTTAATTATCCAGTTTGAAGTCTTGTAAGATATCTATTAACGGGCTCGTAAGATATCTATTAATGACCATTAATAAAGTATGTTTGGAATAATTGCCACATTGTAGATATTTTCTTTCTCAAACCCATGTTTTGATGCTTGGAAGCCTGAGTTTTTTTTTCCAGTTGTAGTCTACACCACTAAGCAATGGCCTCCATTTTGGTAAGATATCTATTACCTAAGAAGCACGGACATGGATACGTGACACAACACAAATATGACACGGATACGACAATTTTAAAAAAATGCAGGACACGACATGTGGAGGACACAAAAAACACAAAAAATATATAGTTATATATATATATATATATATATTATATCATATATATGAACATATCATTAAAAAATTATAAAAAATGGAACATAACACTAGTTTTATTTATTTATTGTGTCATATACTTGAATATTTAAAAATGGGCATGACACTAATTTCTATAAATTTATATTGTTTTTCTATTTGAAATTGTTTTGTTTAAACTTTTAATTAATTTCATGGGTGTCTAAATGATGGACATGTGCCTTCCAAGTGTCCAGGTCTTTTTTCTCTCTCTCTCTCTCTCTCTCTTTTTTTTTCTCTCTATTTTATTTTAAAAAGGGACACGTTTCAACGAGTGTCTAACACAGACACACTACTTTCGTAGAAGTATCCGTGCTTAGTCTATTAGAAACATAAAGATGGCGGTGGACATTTTATTTTCCCAATAGAGCTATTGCAATTTTAATATGTTGCACTTATCACAATTAATTCCTCTCATGCTTGTGTGATATTTTATTTCACTTTTTAATTTTGATTACTCATGTTAGTTTTTTGTCCTTGTTGAATAACATAATTGTTGCATGAAGTGGGCATGCCCCAATAGCATTCTGCCACTAATTATGTAGACTTGTTGAATCCATTGTTATCATTAAACTTAAATCCTTTGGGTTTATTTAATTGTATGAAGAATTGAAATCTATTTTTATAATGTAAAAGTTACATTTTTCTTTTCTAATTTATAAAGCACTATATGAACTTTTTCAATCTGTAGTGGTTGTAGCATCATTCCATTTGTCTCTATTCTAATGCATATTGTTATTATTGGATTAACACATGTATGAAACTTTATGGTTAAAATTCATTTGTTGATAATTGTGATAATAATATAGCTTCTTTCTTTATATGACATTGTTTGATAATAATCTTAATAGTTAATACCACTTGTGAACGTGCTTGTTTTACTCTCTTTTTTTTTTTTTTTGTTTTACTCTTCTTTTTTTTTTTTTTTGAAAAAAAAAAACTTTGAATTCAAAGTAATAATTAATGATATTACTGTTGATGCTTTATACATGAATCTATTATTCTCATGTTTATTGTTAAATCATATATCTCGTAATAATCATTTATAGCAACAATAATCTCATAACCAAGTATTAAAACTAAAGCTGATCTTTGTGTCACTCTTCTACATTGGTGGCTCTAGGAATTTTGGTCAGGGTATTCAATAATTAAATGAGAATTTATATAAAATATATCACACTATATCTATCCTCATGTTTAATGAATCTTCTAATTTAAACTTCTCAAATGACTAGAGAAGAAAGTTATAATATATTGATACTATCGTTTCAACCTAAAAGGGAAAAATTAAATGTATATAGTTCTACAATTACTTTTGACAAGTCCTGCAATTGATACCTAGTTTTGATGGAGCTTGGAAGCTGTTTTCCTCAAATTTAGTTGCTTAATAGCTATTTTTCAGGTATGTTCTATGTCTTTTTTAGATATATGAGGGTAGGTTTTTGGTCTTTATATGAGGATAAATTATAACTACGTACCAAGAAAAGTACTCAGAAAATGAAGTGTATGGTCCCAATGTATTTTGGAAGTGACCCACACTACTCAAAACTTGAAATTTATATCATACATTTTATTTTGTGGATACATGATGATTCTAATGAGGGTATTACATCCAGAATTAAAAAGAGAGTATGAGTGGTTTGTGGAATTAGTGTGCAAAGTTTGAAATGGGGAATTGAGTGTTAAAAATTTGTTGAATATTGTAAACTATATATATAAACAAAGGCAAGGTATTCAATTGAATACCCTGAGCTTAATATCCCACTGCCCTGCTCTTCTGCCTTTTTATTTATTTATTTAATACTACTACTACTACTACTACTACTACTACAACTACTACTAAATGATAATTGATAAAACTTCTTGACTATCATAAAGATATCTCCCAACTCTTATCTAACTTTTGTACTTCTTTGTTCATTAATTGCTCATGACAAAAATTATGTATAATTGCCTTTTTTTTTTCCTTGGACTGCTAGCCTTTTTGTTATGCTGTAGAAGATGATAATGCTTTTTTTTATTTGTTTTTCTTAGTTTGCTATTTTATATAAATTGCATAGTCTTATACACGAAGAGATTCAAAGTGAATGCAACTAGATTGACATCTCTCTCTCTCTCTCTCTCTCTCTCTCTCCAAGTTGATAGAAAGGCAAAACTTAAATGGATTCTCTTTTTGCCCCAACATTGTTAATTGGTTTGTGCGACACTTGTATCATATGTGCATATACGTGTGCAAATATTACATAAATCGTATGTCATTATGGGTGTGGGGGCTGTGATGGCTTTCTCATTGTATGGCAATGTTAGGCTATGAAGCATGGACACCTATCTGGAGGCAATGGATAGGTGTCTGGCATGTGTCGGACACGGACACGCTCCAAACCCCTATCGGACACACTGGGACGCTTGGGACACATTGAGGACATGCAAAGGAAACACTGAGGATCATTTTTTGTTCAAAAAAATTAAAATTAAAATTTTGTTTACTATAATAGTATACCTAAGGTTGATAAATTTGAAAAAATTAAATATTTGACTTAAAATAAATATTAACTATTTAAAAATATGACACATAATAAATATATAAAATTATATGTTTTGCACATGTCCCAAATGTGCCGTGTCCTACATTTTTTTGAAAATTTGCGTGTCCACGTGTCTGTGTTGTGTCATGTGTTTGTGCCCGTGCTTCTTAGATGTTAGGCAGGCTTTTACTTTTCTTGTAGTGTGACTCTATTGCTTAGTCTTTTCCCTTGCTAATTTAGTCGTTTATTTTTGTACATTTTTCTTAATTTTTGTAGAGGTTGACACCTTGGAATGTTGTCAATTTGAGAGATGCTATTGTTAATGGCTCTGAAATTTATCCTGGAGCTACTCATTATGTTGATAAATTGTCTACTGTGAAACTGCCGCCAAGCAAGAAAATGCGTCTTTCAATTTCAAGAAAATTACCTTCTTCTAGAGGGGTGGTTACACAGTATGGGAAGAGTTGTGATTATGAATTTGAAGGCAAAATTGTGTATCGGCACTTGCGGGATGGAGATGTTGTTCTTGTCAATCGTCAGGTACTTCAAATTATGTCTTTCCACAAAAAAAAAAAAAAAAAATATTAAAGAAGAAGAAGAAGAAGAAAGAATAGGTACTTCATAGTTTGTCTTGATCTGCATTTGGATGTGGTAATGTATGCATAAGTTTGTGATGCAGACCATTCATGGATGTTCATGAATACTTTATAATTGTATTTATTTATTTTAATTTATAGTTCAATTAGGATCTTAGTAAATTTAGTTTTTATTTTATTTTATTTTAGGGATTCTGGTTACCAAATAATATTTTGATTTAGTTTCCTATTTTGAATTAGGATTTCTAGCCTAAAAATATTAGGTCTTTACATTGTAATCGAGTATTGAAGGCTGTGGCTGTTTGTGTTAGGGCTGTGGCCCTCTTCTTCTCTTTTCTCTCCTGTTTCTCCTGTTGCATTCTACATCACTATGTCTTGCATATAATATCATCTGCAAATTAAAGTCTAGATGCTTCAGTTCTTTCCTTGCCCTAGTCAAATGTATAGCCTCTCGCTAATGTTATTTGGTGCATCTTTCATAAATTAATGGAGAAGCAGGTATTGATGATGAATGCCCCAAGTAGTGTTGGACCAACCATTGGCCTTACCGTGGACATGTAGAGCCCCTTTGAACATTATTAGGCACATTTCTTCTTAAATTATTGGAGAAGTGAGATGCTGATATTAGTGCCTCAAGAAGCGTTGGACCATCCATTAGCCTTGGGATGAACAATGACCTGCAAAGAAAAGGAGGAAAACTATTTTTATCTAACTTCTGCATTTAACTTCAAAATCTTTCCAATGCACAACATTATTTGGGAAGGAATAATTTGCGCTGTAGAAATTTAATGTATAAAGAGAAATGGTTGTATTATTGATTGATTTATTGATATCAATTACAATGATTCATGATTCCTATATATAGAAGAGGGTGAGTGTGTAGTAGGTAAGGAGTAGGTGAACGGTTTGAAAAAGGGTGCAGAGACTTATCTTGCTGCCTTGGTGGAAATCAAACCTGGCTCTGATACCAATTGTTACAGGGTCAATTTTCGTTTCAAAAATTCCAGCCTGTAATGGCACTAAGTTGGACACTTAGTCTCAGCCAAGTATGTATACACACACACACACAGAGTGTTATAACAAGTAAGAATAGGCAGCAAGTAATTACAGGAAAAATCCCAACCTTTATTGATTGCACCAACAATACAAAGGATGCCTATGGAACTCTTACAAAACACTTAGTTAATTTTCGAGTTCCATGGCTGATGCCTAAATAGGCTTACAATCAGTTTTAACTTCCAACCAGCATTACAAGGAAAGCATGCCAAGTGGCATGGCAGTTGACACCCCCAACTGCCTAGGGACTTAGGAACATTTCTGGAGCATAACTGCTCTTAACTGCTGCTATGTTTCAGCCTTCATTCCGGATGTCCAGACTTGCCTTGTCTTTGCCCATCATGGGTAACTGCTGCGTTTCAACACAGCCTTGACTTTGCCCTCATGTGGATAAAGCTTGGAGAGAAGATGTTGTTCTTAGTTTGTTTTCGTTTGGTGCTCTCTCTTCTTACATCTAATTTGAAGATTTTTTCTTTTTGAGTGTTGTTTGGGTGGTGGGGGTGTGGGGATGGATGTGTTTGTTTCAAGCTATGAAGTATGGGTACTTCGAAAAACATGCCGTACCCGTACCGGGTACTTATCGGCGTATGGTACCTCGCATGGTAATTTTGCATATGTGTACACGAAACACGTATTCAAATTTTTTCTTCTTAATTTGGCGTACCCAGACGTACTTAATATATATTCAAGCCGTATCGTACCCCAATTGAAACAATATTTTCTCCAACTAAAGGAATAAAACTCCTTTCACTAGACTTCTTTTTTATTTTCAGTTTTATATTCAGTATGATTTTAAAATTAAACTATGGTTTGTAAGTTATTTAATATATTAACATTTAATTTTGATTTATGTAGAAATTTAATGTATAAAGAGAAATAGAGAATTGTATTATTGATTGATATAATGTTTATTGATATTTATTACAAGGATTCATGATTCCTATATATAGAAGAGGGTGAGTGTGTAGTAGGTGAGGAGTAGGTGGAGAGTAGGTGAAGTAGGTGAGTGTGTAGTAGGTGGTAGTGGTAGGTGTGTAGTAGGTGAATTTTAACAGCCCCCCGCAAACTCAAGGAGGATAGGAACTAACCAACTTGAGTTTGGAGAGAGTTACAAAACAAGAAAATACATAAAAATAAAAGAGGATAGGGGACACTGTATGGTCATGTCAGACCATTGGGGAAGACACTGGATGGTGGTGTCATAACGTTGTAGAGGACACTGTATGGTGGTGTCAAACCGATATAGAAGACAGTTTATGGGGTCATGTCGGACCATTGTAGCTGACAATGTTGTGACAGTTGTTGTGACAGTTTACAGAGTCTTGCTGAACCCTTGTAGAAATTAACCGGAATCAATGTCGGGACAGTTTACAGAGTCTTGTCGGACCCTTGTAGAAACTAACCGGAATCAATGTCGGGGAGTAGGTGAGGTGGTAGTGGTGTAGTGGGTTAGGTTTAGTGGAGTAGGTGAGGTGGTAGTGGTGTAGTGGGTTAGGTTTAGTGGAGTAGGTGAGGTGGTAGTGGTGTAGTGGGTTAGGTTTAGTGGAGTAGGTGAGGTGGTAGTGGTGTAGTGGGTTAGGTTTAGTGGAGTAGGTGAGGTGGTAGTGGTGTAGTGGGTTAGGTTTAGTGGAGTAGGTGAGGTGGTAGTGGTGTAGTGGGTTAGGTTTAGTGGAGTAGGTGAGGTGGTAGTGTTGTAGTGGGTTAGGTTTAGTGGAGTAGGTGAGGTGGTAGTGGTGTAGTGGGTTAGGTTTAGTGGGTGAAGTAGGTAATAGGTTTTAACAGCCCCCGCAAACTCAAGGGGGATATCAAAAGTTGCGCCCTCAAAAGGCGCGCCCACTTCATCAAAAGGCGTGCCTGACAGAAAGCGTCGAGCCATCAAAAGGTGAGCCGGAGACGCGGCGAGGCACGTGAGCGACAGAGTGGCGTGTCGGCCTCGGCTATTTAACCAAGGTTGAGGCGGAGGCTGTGCAAACCAGTCTGAAACCGCCGAAAATCCTTTGAAAAAACTCTTCCGTTTCTGAGAAAGAGATTCTGGAACACTCTGTTGCCATCCCTTCTCTGAAACACTCAGCAACCCATAACATGGCCTCGTCTTCCCGTTCAGCTACCCAGAATATGGCCTCTTCGTCCCGTGGCCTGCTCACTCTTTTTCCAGACCTTAACGAGTCAACAAGAGAGACAACTGGTGTGGCGGCCCGTGAACCTCAACCAAACACCTCTGGTTTTGCTCCGTTGAACTTTCCGATGCGGTCGGTGGAGCAAAAAATGGCAGTGCAAACTGACATTGAAGCCATCATTTGATTGAGGGAAACCATGACTGCGGTCACAAACTTGTCGCACCGGCTGCAGAGCAGGACAAATGAGGTGCAACAGTTAAACTCCCAGCTGGCTCTGCTCCAACGCATGCATAAGGATGCGCGAGTAGAGATAAGTGTGCTAAAGACAGAAAACAAGGAACTGAAGCGGAAGGCCACCGTGATGTTCCGATTTGGAGGTCCACCATATGCTGCAGTGGAGGAGTATGGGGGAGTGAACGTGCTCGGTGGCGTGGAAAACACGGAGGCAACACCGTCAAGGACCGCCCAGGACGGTGGCAAGAAGAAGAGACCGGCTGCAGAGTAGAGAAGGGAAAAGAAAAATCCCACAGTGGGTGTGGTTGTTTTGTTTGTTTGTTTTTTTTTTTTTTTTTTTTTTTTTTTTTGTTTAAAATTGGGAGCAGGGTTGATACCTGAGATGAATAAAATATGGTTTGGTGTGCAAATTTGTAATTTTTTTTTATTTTGTATTTATTTATTTATTTTTGGCATGGTGACGCCGACGTGTCAGCCGAGGTGCCACGTGCCCTGGTAGTTAAGCCGAGGTAATCTCGGAGAAGCCGAGGTCATCTCCGAAGATATCGCAAATTCTTCATCGCCGCCACCGACTACTTCACAAAGTGGGTTGAGGCTGAGCCACTGGCGACCATAAAGGAAAAGGATGTGAAGAAGTTTATTTGGCAAAATGTTATCACTCGCTTCGGTATACCCAAGGCCCTCATCTCAGATAATGGCACTCGCGCGTTACGGTTCGAACAGTCGAACACCTATACGGATTTTCCTGCACAGTGGCAGATATGTAATCAACCCAGTCGGACTTACGGATGATTTTCATGAGAATTGCAAGATTTAATGTATAAAAATATAGAGAGAATTGTATTATTGATAGATTGTATTGATATCAATTACAATGATTCATGATTCCTATATATAGAAGAGGGTGAGTGTGTAGTAGGTAAGGAGTAGGTGAAGTGGAGGTGGTAGTATTCCTATATATAGAAGAGGGTGAGTGTGTAGTAGGTAAGGAGTAGGTGAAGTGGAGGTGGTAGTGGTGTAGTGGGTTAGGTTTAGTGGAGTAGGTTTAAGTGGGTGAAGTAGGTGGAGAGTAGGTGGATTTTAACACTTATCAATGATCACAGTCTGAACATCTGTTCCTAACAAAAGCTGTAACTGCGTGTGGCTTATACCTTGCTGATGGATTTCGCTCATATCTAAGAAATAGAAATTAAATGGCTCTATAAAGACTCATTTGATTGAGCTAATGGGTCTATAATCTTTAATTCACCAGATCCATCTTTCTTGCAAATCAATGAAATAGAAGTGGCATCCACAAGGATAGGAGCTTTGTTTCTATCCAATCTTTAAAATGCGTTTTTTACCTTGTCCTTTCCATATTTTCTCTCCCCCTTTTCCCTTTTTCTTAATTAATCGGATTCCGTCCATGCGTTTCAACACAGCCTTGACTTTGCCCTCATGTGGATAAAGCTTGGAGAGAAGATGTTGTTCTTAGTTTGTTTTCGTTTGGTGCTCTCTCTTCTTACATCTAATTTGAAGATTTTTTCTTTTTGAGTGTTGTTTGGGTGGTGGGGGTGTGGGGATGGATGTGTTTGTTTCAAGCTATGAAGTATGGGTACTTCGACAAACATGCCGTACCCGTACCGGGTACTTACCGGTGTATGGTACCTCGCATGGTACTTTTGCATATGTGTATACGAAACACGTATTCAAATTTTTTCTTCCTAATTTGGCGTACCCAGACGTACCTAATATATATTCAAGCCGTATCGTACCCCAATTGAAACAATATTTTCTCCAACTAAAGGAATAAAACTCCTTTCACTAGACTTCTTTTTTATTTTTAGTTTTATACTCAGTATGATTTTAAAATTAACTATGGTTTGTAAGTTATTTAATATATTAACATTTAATTTTGATTTATACCTTTATTTTTGGTATTAAATGTTAGTTATAGGTTAGATCTTAACAAATTAAATCATTTAATTAATTTTTGCATTACTCTAAATTAAAAATAAATATTTTTTTACAAGCGTACCAAGACGTACTTGTACCCTACTTTTTATGGATTTTACCGTATTCACGTACCTGTATCATACTAGTACCAGTACTCGTACCCGTACCCGTACCCGTGCTTCATAGTTTTCAGGCCTTGCTGTTTAACTTGTTGATGAATAACCACAAGTGTTCTATTGAAACTGTTTGGCTTTATGTTACTTAGAACTTAGGTCATTTTGGTACAAAGAACGGGAACGCGGTATGCCACATCCTCTAAAATGTGGGTACGATAGGGGTAGTAGACTTCTTGATTTGACATCAAATATATTATAGTATATTTTTCTTCAAATTAATCGTTCAGCAACATAATTTTATGAGTATTATGACCCATTATTCTACATTTTGTCAATCTAAAGCTCCACTCAATCTGGATTTTAGTTCATCATATTTGACTTTTCCTATATTAGGAAGAAATTTTAATAAAAAAATTAGAAAAATTTATGGAAACACTTTGGATCGCTAAATTCACTGTTTTAGAATGAAAGTGTACACCATGTCATGGAACATGCGTTCCAACGTTTTCTTGTAACATTGGTTTGGCTGCTTCCTATTACTTTTGCTGTTCATCTTATGAACGTTAGATTTCATGTTATTGTATCTTAATTTATAGTGTGATCTATCATTGTTTATTGGATGTCATTCTGAACTTGCTTAAAATTTTCGATGGCAGCCTACGCTTCACAAGCCAAGTATTATGGCACATGTAGTTCGCGTATTAAAAGGGGAGAAAACTCTTCGTATGCATTATGCCAATTGCAGGTTGGTGTTATGTGCATAATTTTCAGCATTCACCTTTTTAGATCTCGTGTCCAAAAAAAATCTTGCTTTGTCATTTATCCAAAAAAAGAAAAAAAAGAAAAAAATCTTGCCTTTTTTATATGCTTAGTGTTTTTTGTTCATGGTTCTGGTTGTAGTACCTATAATGCTGATTTTGATGGTGATGAAATAAATGTTCATCTACCTCAAGACGAAATTTCCCGTGCTGAAGCTTATAATATTGTGAATGCTAATCATCAATATATTGTTCCAACAAGGGGTGATACTGTCAGAGGTTTGATCCAGGTGACAATATTTCATTTAGTTCTTATTTTTTTAACTGTTATTTTGTTTGTTTGCCAGTTTTCTATATTTTTTTAGAGTATGTATTAATGATTTGTTGATTTGTTATTTAAATTTTCAGGATCATATTGTAAGTGCTGTGATTCTCACAATGAAGGATACATTTCTAACGCATGATCAGTTCAATCAGCTCCTCTATGGTTCTGGTGTGTTTGCTGCTGGGTGTGGTTCATCTTTTGCCAAACCCTGCCAGAAAATTTCTACAGTAGATTCTGAAGCTCTGATGCAGCCTGTTTTGCCTGCAATATGGAAACCAAAGCCACTTTGGACTGGGAAACAGGTAATCATTTCAAGGAAGCTTACTATGGTCTGTTTATACCCATTTCGCAAAGTGCATCAAGCTGAGAATAAAATGGCTTTTCCCATTGCTTTAGGAAGGTTTTCTGTACTTGAATGTCCCGGAGTTGAAGAACTTTTGGCTGTGTATGAAACATAGTTAATGATGAGGCCTGGAGAATCGGTCCTCAAATATCCAATCCCCAAACTATTTTTTAATGTGTATCCAGCCCTATCTAGTGTTTGGTTGGTCATCGTCGAAGGTTAGAATAAGGTAGTCCCCATGATTTTCAGCCATAGGATCTTGTGTAAGCCCTTATCCCACCATCAACCTAATCCCGGGGTAAATAATTCTGAAACTGGTGAAGGCATTGTTTATTGTTAGATGGATTTGTGGTTTCATTGTCTTATTTTTCTTTCGTCTTTTAGGTCATTACTGCTCTTCTAAATCATTTGACTAGAGATTACACACCATTTACTGTTGAAAAAGATGGGAAGATTCCGTCGTCTTATTTTGGCAGTCAGGCTAATCAGAAGCATCCTAGCAAAGGTAGGAAAAATGAAGAAAGTGGTGAACATATGTTGTTAATTTGGAAGAATGAACTCGTGCATGGTGTGATTGACAAGGCTCAGTTTGGCAAGTATGGGTTGGTTCATACTGTGCAGGAGCTCTATGGCTCAAACACAGCAGGCATTCTGCTTTCTGCTCTCAGTCGCTTGTTTACTGTGTTTTTACAGGTTAAGTTGCATTTTTCTTTGATTTTTTTTTTTTCGCAGTTTTTTCTTATATGACATATTTGTCAAGACTCTAATGTCAGATCTTTGTACTGCTTTATTTGACATATATGTTTCAGATTCATGGGTTCACATGTGGGGTCGATGACCTTATGATATTAGCAGATCATGACGAGGAAAGGAAGAAGAAACTTGATGGTGAAGATGTTGGTGAAGAAGTTCATTGTGATTTCTTTAAGTTCAAGCCTGGTACAATAGGTAGGTATGCTTTTCTACAATATTGCATAACATGGACATTTTCTTTACTGTACTTGTGGATGAGGAAAATGGTTAGAGAATATCAAATTTTTCAGTAGATCATTGATGAATCTTAATCCTTTTAAGAATAGTTAGTGAGATAGCAAGATTGAGGAAGTAATTATTATTTTTTAAGGCTGATCTTGTACATTGATGTTATGTGCTGTTCTGCTATAATAATTGAAATGGAAAAGTTGTGATAAATGGTTAGTCATATGTGAAAGTGTCATAGAAATAGTCCCAAGCTCTATGGGACTATTTGCAATTTAAGTGATTATTGTTGATTAGGTTTGCAATCACTGAGTACTTTCTCAATTCTAGTTGACTGTCTCTGGAGTTGGTTGACCAACATAGTTGATAGTCCTGGATGATCAGTGACTATCCTGGTTGACCGGGCCAATGTTCTTAAAATTAGTTTGGTCTTTTTTACTCTAAGTCAACTTACCAAGTGTTGCGATGTTATAAATCTTCTCTTAAGTTCTTCATCAAGAAATGACTACTTAAAATGTTCATTCTCATACACGGATACAACCAAGTTTGGTATTCATTTGGAGACAACACAGTCAATCAAGTATTCATCTCAAACATCTATAATAGTGTATATAAAATGACGCATGGACACGGGACACAACACGAACATGACACGAACCCACAAATTTTCAAAAAACCGCAGACATGACACGTTAGGGACATGCTCAATATATATATATATGTTTGTTTATTTATCATATGTCAAATTAAAAAAAAAAATTATTAGAAGTTAATTAAAAATGCAAAATAACACCAACAAAAATTATATATATATAAAAAAAACATACATTTCATTACTTTAACATCAAATATCATTCATAAATGACATAACAATTGCATTCCAACAATACATCACATATGTCATTCCAATGTACCAACCATCATGGGGTTACAAAATCCATGAAAACCACAAAATATAAATCTATCCAATCTTTAACTAGAGCCAACTTTTGTGACATCTTCACCATCGCCTATATCTTCTTCGCCATTTGTAAATAGGACCGCCTACATAGCCGGTTCATGAAGTGAGAGGTTAGCTATCCCAAGCATTCCAATATCATCAAGTGAGTCAAAGTTATCTTCTTCAATGTCCCACATTTTTGTTTCTCCTTGCATGTATTGGGAGCTCCTCCTTGATAGAAGATGGAGATAGATATGAATAAATACCAAGTCCTCTGCTCGTTGAGGAAACATTTTGTTCCTTTTCACTGAGTGAATGAAAGAGTAAGTACTCCCATTTCTCTCACAATAAGATGATGAGGCGCGTTGCACAAGTAGTCTCAAAGCTAGTTTTTGAAATGTTGGTGCATATGCACTATATGCACGCCACCAAGTGTAAGGATCCATGTGCCACCTATTATGAATGGAATCATATTTGGAGAATGCCTCAACATAACCTGAAAATTTTCCATAGGTTACCACCTTGGTTCGCTCCATGATATCATCAAAATACCTTTTAAAGGACTTGTTCCTCTCACGTGTTACCCCTTCATCCCTACGAGAAGGGACTCTATTTGAGTCCTCATGGAGCCACTCATCACTATAGTACTTACCTATGAAGCACAAATACTTTGAAAATGTTGCTATACTCGTACTGGGCACTTGAAATACGTATCAGGTACATTTTATACGTTCTTTGGCAGTTAGGTACTCCGTGAGTACTTTTGTGAGTACGGGATGGGTACATCAGGGGTGCACCCAGATATGAGATATTTGTGGAGATACGTTTAATTTATTAGAGAGTTATAATTTATTTGAAATTGCAAATCTTTTACTTGATGTGCCAAAGATGAAAGATGTATTATTTACTGATGAAGTTGATGGAAGTGCAAATTGAAGTTTCAAGTTTTCAAATTTTGCTTAACTTGCTTTTGAAATGAAACTTTGTTTTGTAATTTCTCCTATTTAATGGCATTAAAATAGCTTATAGACTTTGCTTTGGTATTGATATTATTGAACTATGATTTCTGTTTTGATTTTGTAATTTCTCCTTTTAGTTTTGGTAACTTTGATTTGTAGGTTGAATTTGAAACTATAAATTATAAAAAATAAAAAATTTATTGTTGTACCAATATCCTATTTTTTTTAGGTCTTTCCATATCAATGTACCTGTAACTATCCGTACCTGCGCCCGTGCCTCATAGGTACCTACAATACAAAATAGTAAAAAAAATAATTTCAAGAGACTAGATAAGTCCATGAAATTAAAATTTCTAACATACTTGAAATTGGGATTCAATAAATGTGCCAAACAATGGAGAGGAGTATTGTTCTTATTCCATCGGTCCACGAGAATTTGTTGCACCACATTATAAATGTAGAATCCTCTTCTATTTGCAGGAATTGCCTTTTTGTTTCTGAAGTTGTTTAGATCAGTATAGAAAGTTTTCTTTTATCTATTCAAAGCATTTTTTGATTTCTTTTGAAGTTTTTCATGAACTTACACTTTCATTCCCTGCAATTAATGATGTATTGGTGGATGTGATGCTGCAAACATAACAACTGTTGCTGGAATGGAGAAACCGGCCCTTGGCATGCCAAGGGTCAGTCAGAATATAATTAAATAAAATCGTAGATAGTTTGTCTTCTAAATAATAAAGTCGTCAAAGAGTTTATTCTTACGAAATTGAGTGAAATAATGTGTGATATTTTTTGGTTATCTAGGAAGTAGTTAACTGTTTCTAGAGTTGACTCAAGGACTCTGAACATCAGTTGCTGATACCGTGACATCTTGTCGTGATATTTTGCTATAAAATGCGATATTGGTCGGGATGGGATGGTATGAGGCAATACAGACCTGTAACCCACATCATGATGAACTTGTATTGTGTTGCAATATCACATTATTGCTACTGCAATGAGTTGCCTGCCTGAGTTGTCGTGTTCTTGGCAGTAACTTCGAACCATGGTCCTGATGATGGTTAGCAATTTTGGGTCTCTTTGCTGGTTGGTCACGAAGTTATTAAAAATCTGAAGTCTTAGCCTTGCCTCGAGTTGTTAAAAATTTGGGTCTCTTTGCTGGTAGGTCCTGATTATGGAAGACTATCAGATGAGTCAATTAGTGATTCTCTCTCTCTCAGTTATAGATCAAGGAAGTTAGCTATAATAATAATAATAATGGCAGAAAGGTGAAATTGGAAGTAATGTTTAGAAGTTGAATGTTTACTGTTTGGTGTGGGGCAACTTAGGAAACTTTATTCACCCAAAACCTTAGGAAACTTATGGTGGAGTTGCCTACGGTTGGATTTGTGGCAGGTTCATGGTCAGAAAATGTTGTTGGCTTGAGGATTAAATAGGCTAGAAGGAAAGAATTATGAGAATTTTCCATTATCTTATTTTGGGTATTTTTTGGATGGACATTCAGTTAACAATAAAAGAAGAAATTCAAGATGAAAGAGAGAAGATGATGGAATAGAGAAGATGAGGGAAGAACAATGTTACGAGGCACGAAACCTAAAATCAGTTTGTCCTCTCTAACTAGGTATATTTATATCAATAAGTGATAAGTAGACAATTACACAACTACCCTTCATCTAATCTTAACACTTCCCCTCAAGTAGGTGCATAGATATCTCTCATGCCGAACTTGCATACAATGAAGTGAAAAACTTTACTACCTAGCCCTTTAGTAAATATATCAGCCAACTGTTTTGTTGATTGCACAAAAGGCATACAAATCACTCCACTGCTGATTTTCTCCTTGATAAAATGTCTGTCAATCTCAATGTACTTTGTTCTATCATGCTGAATTATATTGTGAGCAATGTTAATAGCAGCCTTATTGTCACAATACAATCTCATTGGCCCTCGACTTAACAATCCCAAGTCTGCTAATAAAACTTGAAGCCACATAAGTTCACAAATGCCATTAGCCATGCTTTGATATTCTGCTTCTGCACTTGATCTGGCCACAACTGCTTGCTTCTTGTTGCGCCAAGTCACTAGATTTCTGCCTACAAAGGTACAATAACCTCAAGTGACCTTGATTAGAGAACAAGATCCTTTTTCCTGGAGCTGATTTCAGATACCTCAAGATCCGATTAAATACATCCAAATGACCTACTCGTGGATCATGCATAAATTGGCTTACTACACCTACAACATATGCAATAGTAGACCTAGTATGAGAAAGGTATATTAATCTCCCCACAAGTCTTTGATATCTTCCCTTATCAACACAATCTCCATCATTGCTGCTAAGTCTGTGATTGGCCTCTATAGGGAAATCTGCCGGTCTACACCTTAACATCCCTACTTCCCCAAGTAGATCTAAGATGTACTTTCTTTGAGAGATAAATATGCCCTTGTCTCATCTAGCGATCTCAATCCCAAGAAAGTATCGTAAAGGCCCAAGGTCTTTAATTTTAAATTCCTTGAAAAGTTGAACTTTGATTTGAAACATCTTCTGTACATCATTCCTAGTCACAACTACGTCATCCACATAGACAATGAGTATAGCAACTTTATCAGTCCGCTGTTTGATGAACATAGTATGATCTGTATGACTCTGCTTGTAACCAAATCTAATCATCGCCTTTAGAAATCTATTAAATCAGGCTCTAGGGGACTGCTTCAAACCATATAATGCTTTCTTTAACTGACAGACCTTTCCAGCAGTGTAGTTGGAGAGGAAAACCCAGGAGGAACATCCATATACACGTCTTCTTCTAAATCACAATGGAGAAAAACAGTCTTTACATCCAATTGTTGCAATGGCCACCCCAGATTTGCCGCACAAGAAAGCAAGTCACGGATAGAATTCATCTTAGCCATCGGAGCAAGGGTCTCCTGATAGTCAATGCCATAAGTCTAAGTGAACCATTTAGCAACTAGTCTCGCCTTATATCTTTCTATGGTTTCATTTGCTCGTTGCTTAATGGTGAACACCCATTTGCAGTCCACAGGTCTTTTTCCCGATGGTAGAGAAACTA